ATATATATATATATATATATATACTACACTTGTGGCATTGCAACAGCGAACGCGTGGAGCGCAACTGTTGTTTCGGAAGAATATAAAGTTAGATGCACACACGTTATCGCCGCAGTATACGAAGAGCAATTAGCGAATCGTTGTCGCTCCACGCACACTCGCGCATTGTCTCTTACAATTTTTACATCCGATACGACCGTCCCTATCTGAGCAAGTAAGCACAAGGTTAATCCAGATTTCGGAGGTAACCACCGTTTAACTGTGTGAACGATATCGGCGATTTCTGTATTTAACGCGTTGATCGACTGAGGATGCCTGACTAGTGGCCAAGATGGCGTTAGAATATAGTCGCGAGAGTGGCGTACGTTGAATTATGTACTCGTCTAAAGTTATTTTCGGATTTCTATATCAGGACGGAATAGCCGAAGTGACATGGCGCCGGGTTACGGCTTAATAAAAGTCGCGGCGTGCAGAACGAACGCGACTCTGGTGCAGGCGTCCTTGAGTGCTAATATATACAACGGATATATTATATTTATATACATCTCTATTTTAATGATTCCATATGTCGACAATATCCAAAGATCGACGGGAAGAACAATAAGAACGCCGCGAAGAGGACGTTACGAAATTAAGTGATATTCCTGAGTAATTCGATCGCTCGAAAATTTCGCGCGAGCAAGCTGCCAGCCGTTACCGAAGTTCCAACCCGAAAACATCAATCGCCATTATGCTCGTAGAAACAGAAACATGCGACTGAGCAAGTAAACGCGAGGTTAGTCCAGATTTCAGAGCTAACCACCGTTAAACTAGTCTCGTTTGAGACGCACCGGCGATCAAACGTATCGTAGGTAAATCGAGCGCTCTGCCGAGCCTTCGTTGTCACGCAAAAGTGAGTTAAAGCGTTCCGAGTGAAAAAAAGGGAAATTCAGTCGCGATATCCGAGAAACACTCGGATCTCACACGAGTGTGAATACATCCGACAGATAACCGCGCCAATTTCCACTAACAGTCATCACCGGTACTTATCCGCGAGATGCGACACTCGACGACGATGCGAATGCTCGAAGGCGAAAATTCACCGTGCGGACCATTACGACGTCGTACCATTCGACCGATAAGTACAACTGGCTTCGTTACCCGAGTTGCGGAGGGTTTCATAGCCCACCCTTTCTCTCGTCGATACCCTCAAAGTCGTTGGAGGAAATATCATTCGTACCGTTTCACTGCCGAAACGGCCCGGACGAGCGATAAAGAAAATCATGGGCGCGAGTAATGTCGCGTACAATCTCGCCGTAAAATATCGAAAGTGCGTCCGGTGGACTTACCTTGAGGTAGGACGGTGAGCAAGAGGACTATTTGGAGACCGGCGGCGACCGTGGTATAAAACTTTATTCGCAACTGCGGTAGACCTCTCGTCTGGTGCGCCATGGCAGACGAATTTTCGCAGGCTGGTTCGAGGTTCGACACCGACTTGCCGATGTTCTTCTACCCGGCCCGAGGTGCCCCCCGTCTCCTGGCGACGCACTGCACTGCAATTTCGTGTTCACTTCTATATGCAGCGGTCACCGCCGCGAGTATCGCCCGGAAGCGCTTTGTCGCCCGCTGCGCCACTGATTATCATCGTGCAGGTGTCACGAGTCGAGTTCAATTCCGCGCGAATCGTCCGCTAATCGATACTCGATGCCTTCGCTAACGCACCTCCCGACTTCGCCGTCATAACCAACGTTCTTCCGTGCTCTTCGGTTGTGCGTACTTCGCGAGGTCTCGATTGCTGAGCGGTGGCGTATTATTGCTCGCAGTAACGCGCTACGTTCGCGCGACGATGCTTCCCAGCGTTTCGAGCATTCTCGCGGGGAATCCTGAAAATAATGATATCGTACGTGTGAACGACCCCTTCGCGCCCTCCACCTCCTACCGCGTGCGGCGTCGTTTCGCGGCATGCGCTCGCATTATCTCGTCGAATTTGCCGAAATTATTTACTATTGTTTTTTTTTTCACGTCTACCGCGATAATCGCCTGCTGAATGCTATTATTTGTCGTTTTCTCTTTTAAGTACGATTTTGAACGCTTCGTCTGTCGTACATAATTTTCTGTGATTGCCCGGTTTATCTTAAAGTATACGTTGATTGACATTGAGAGGATACAATTGCATTCCACATATTTTTCAATCACCCGTGAAATATTATTCTTGAATTTTAAAATTTTTATTCAAAATATCGGAGCTTTGTTCAGCAAATATTCGAAAACGGAGAGATTTTCTGTGGATTTGTTACGATTAACGAGGCTTTGGCCGAATTACAATCCAATGTTCCACTTATATGAATCACCAAAATATTATAAAATTTATATGTATTTATCGAATATATTATAATTTATCGAAAAGCTAAATATACATTTAACTTTTATATAATGAAACTTTATACAATGAAATTTTGATAAAAGAATCAAAGATTACACACGAAGCGATACTTTGCAGGCCCAAAATTGAAATTGTGTACGGACATTGCCACTGAAATTTATACATTACAGACATTCTTCATTCGTCGTGAAATAGCGAAATCGAGCACTCATTTGACTGATACCCTCATTTATTCTTTTCGCCGAGTGTAACGATTGCGGTCGTTATGGACACCGAAGATTTAGGTGATTTACAAGCCCGGCGGTTGATTTACTATTTCACTATCAGCAAGAAAGGATTTCTCGTATTCCCCTTGGAAAAACGTGCGGTGACTGAGGACGATCGGTTTCGCCGAGTCCCGTTATCGTAAATTTTCTATGTTCCTGGCGAGACCGAATGAATTATTGAAAAAGTAGCGTATGCAGACTCACACATCAATCTCCGCGGGGAAAGGGTGAAAATATTTTTTCGGTTGAATAATTTGCTAATGTAAGAATACAAGAAATATAATTAAATTTACTACAGCATTAAATTTAAGCAAAACTTTTGAGCAGTTTTATGCCGTACTTAAGATTTTATTGAGTTTTTCAGAGCGTTCGATGACTCAATGAAACATTTGAAAAAATATTGTGGAAAAAATTAAATTATATCATGATATATCATTGGATACGAGAAATTAGTTTAGGCAAGAAAACGGTAGAAATGCGAGAAGAAGAATTAACAATCTCACTATGATTTAGCATTTGAAAAGTGAAACACGAGAGAGAACGTGTTACAATGCGTCTTTGTTCTCACGCATCTACGTGTTCATGCATTCAACAGCCTCGAATTATATCAAAGAGAAATACCCTGTAGAGCGCGACAAAAACCTGCGAATTAATTAACTGCAACCCTCCCCGACCGACCAGCAATTGATCACGATTCCAGCATTACGATGACCTATTTATCGGATTCACGAGGGAGTGCGCGTTAAATGGCACGTCATTACCGCCGGTCTCTCTCTCTCTCCCTCACTCTATCGACACAGGTAACAATTTTTTCTCCATTGTCCCGCGCGTCTCAGAAACTACAATGGCGCGATTTTTAATCTCTCGTGGGAAATGCGTCTGCGGAGTTTCGACGTCGCGACTTCTGCCAGTCGATACGAACGTACCTACGGCTGCGTTCGGACATTTGTCATACGGAGTCGTTTTATCAGTCAATTAAACATACGTATGAGTGCGCATACATACGGCGAACGTTCTCGCCGGCTCTCTATCTCGTCGACAGGACGCTCGAAGGAGGTCTCTTGCCACGAGAAGAGCTCGGTTTACAGGTGTCCGCGGCGACTACGCTATCGAATGCTCCTGCTCTTCCCCACGCGGTGGCGTCTATCGTTACGAGTACTCTCAACCCCTTTCTCTACCGGCACCGGAGCTCACTTTATTACTCGCTTCTGCCCACCACGTCGGCAATTCGATCGAAATTCCCGGTCGCGAACTAATATAGAATCAAGAGCAGAGAGCGCTCGATGTTTGCATGAGGCAAGAGAGAAATCTTGTCCGATACATGAAAACCGAATGGAAGAGGCGAAAGGCAGACGAGGTCTCGCGATTTGACAGAGATTCGACGGACGTGCGGGTAACCATTCGTCAAACCTGCAGACAATCGACGAACGAGTCCGAGGGACTAACTGCCGCACCGAACGACGCCGCGCGCGCCGTGCTCGTCGCGCGCGATCGGTTTCTCTCAAATCGCGAGCACGCTGCCGCGATTCTCTCTCTCTCTCTCTCGACGAGAGGCGCGGGTGTGCTATCACGACTCTTGGCTGCACCACGGACCTGCGTTCGCGGCCTGGCCGACGATCGTCTTCCTCGTCTCACTATAGTTCACCGCACGTTCCATCCTCCCGCGGAGCAGCACCACCACCTCCGCCTCCTTCCCTGCCTCCTACTTCAGCGGAGCGCAACACGGTGTTGCCCGTATCCAGGCAACTTCGCGGAGCGTGGCTGCTCCCTCTGCCAGCGACCCGGTCCACGTAGGCAGCGAATTCGCCGCTTTTCTACGTCGTTCTCGCTCGCGCGTTTCTCTCTTTTTTGATCCTGCCTTCTTCCGTTCTCGCGCTCCCTCGTCGCACTCCACCCTCCTCAGCAGGGGTCACGCGTTCGCGCGAACGTGCATTCTCGCCTACCCGCGTCTACCGTCGTCGTTCTTCCTGTCCTGTTGTGGCTATCCCACCTTTTCCTCCGCACTCCCATTCGCCACGTTCTCGTCGCCCTCTACGTGCCCCTCCGTTCTTTTATCCGTAACTGTTGTTATTGTCGTCCGGCGAAGTCGTTCCTCTTGCACGCACGGTTCTACCTCGCATCGCGGCGGCACCGGGGCTCAACACGAGCGAACGCGCGAGCAACTATTCCGTGTACGCGACCACCACGCCGATCGCGACCACCACGACGAGTGCGGTGACGAAGACGATGAGGAGACGCGTAGCCCCTCGTATAGGCGGCACGCACAAGGTGCACGAAGTTCGACCGAACGTGGCAACTCGCGCTAAACTGAGACAGCGGCTGACAGGAGGAAAACGATGAAAGATCAGAGAGACGGGGATGGAGAGAAAGAGGTGGAGAGTAACGGAGATAAAGAGAGGGTGAGAGAAAGAGCGAGAGGAGAGAGAGAGAGAGTGTGTGTGTTAGAGAGAGAGAGAGAGAGAGAGAAAGAGAGAGAAAGAGAGAGAGAGAGAGAGAGAAAGAGAGGGATGGATACACGGGGGATGGGGAAAACCGCCTCGTCCCTGCGAACGGGTGTCCGAACCGGAAACCGAAACCCCCGAAAAAGGAGGCGGTCGGGGTCGTGTACGAGCTGCCGGTCGAGCTCTCGCGACTCGCAGCCACCGCCGCGATATAGACGCGAAGAGCGCTCCCCACGATGGGCATAACCCTCCTCCACCACTTCCACCACCGAGCAGCTATCCTCCCCGCTGTCCCTACCTCCCGTAGCCGCCTCCGGTTCCCACCACGATTTCACGAGAGGCTGCGGACTGGACCAGCACGCAACCAGCGTGGCCCCCACCACGTCGAGAGTAGAGTCGGAGGTGCGAGGATGCGGGGGGCATCGCGGGGCTCGAGGGGACGCGGGTGAGGCAGGCGGCACGGGGGTGGAGGAGAGTACTGGAGAACAGCATCCCCGAAGCCCACCCCACAGATCAATATTGTGCCCACCACCGTGTACCGGAGAATTCGTCCCGTCTCTCTCGGGTAACCGTCGCATGCCACATGTTCCGTCTCTCTTACCCCCGAGCATCCCCTCACGAAGCCCCCGTAGCTCACGGCCGTTGCCGTGTGTTGCGAGCTCGCTCTCCCTCCCTTCGCTCTCTCTCGTCCCTCTCTCGCTCCCTCTCCCTCTACTCCCCCGTATTTGTTCCTCCCTCTTGCTCACCCTTATTCTCGTCTTCTCTCTCAAGGGTAAGCGCGCGAGGGTGTGCGTTGATTCCATCGCGACCGTCGCGAACGATGCTGGAGCATGGTCCAAGTCCGCCAAGGGGGATTAGCCTCGGCGGTCGAGATCCCAGGGACGGCATAGTTTCGGTGCACCAAGGGTGCCGACACGACAAGAAGATAAGTTGTGTGCGGATGGGCATGGACGAGATTGACGGGTAAATCGATTGTTTTCGAAATTGCCAGGAAAACGCGTGTCTAAGACGAGGTCGCTCGGTTGGGGGCGACAATGGACGGGATATAGAGCGTTCCGTACCGTCGTGCATTTCGCACGTTTACCGTATCTCGATTAAAGGTTGGTAAGGGTCTCACGATGATCCCTCTTGCGATTCCGCAGGAAGAGACCGAACCGCAAACGTAACCGGAATTATAATGTCTTGCTTATAGCGTAGACTTGGGTCTATAAATATTTGTATAGTAAATTTTATTTGCTGAAGAAAGATATGACGGTAACGCAGTCCCCCTCCCTTCTGTTCTGCAAACAATTACGTTAAAACATCTACTGGAGAAAAACACTTGGTTACAATGTAAATTAATGTACGTTAGCGTACTGCAATTGAATATGCATATTTTGTCGAAAATAGAGTATAATTAGTACTGCGTCTAGCGTAGAAGGTTGTACTACATATTTCTGATGATTTTGATCCGACGTTACGAGTAATAGAATGTTGCGAGAAACTGAACAAATCAATTATGTAGGTAGTGTCTTTACCAACAGCTGCTCGCTGAGGAGATTGTAGAAACGTCATGCAAGGCGCTTCAGTCAGCTGGAATCCGAGCGAGAATCCATACGATGTAAATATATGTGTTAAATACTCGAATAATTTGTTTAATATATTCTTTTTATATTAGTTGACGTAAAAATACTTTAAAGAAAAAATGAATTTATTTTTGCATTTTTATTATACTTAAACGCACTTTTTTTCAAGCTGCCGTCGATAATTCCTTCTTTCAGGAGCGTTGAAATGCACTTTAGATTACGCTACCTAGCTACGAACATGCAGTGAGACTGGCTAGGTAGCGTAGTTTACAGTCGATAACGTTATACCGAATGCTGTTATCGCGCTTATCCGAATGTTGTTAACCGGAGAATCTTCATAAATGCGTTCCTCAATATCCTGGTCGAGAAACCAGATTTCTCGCAAGTTTTCTGCTCGTGTATTTTTGTCAAAAATGTTTTCCATATATGATAATTCAAGTAGATATTTTATATCAACCGTGCACATTGCCCAAGCTACAGATGAAATCTATTTCTTTCCACTCCATTTACATAATATGTGTTCCAACGATTATTTTGTTCAAATGCCAAGAGGACGTTAATATTAACCTAATATTCTTTTAAAACACCGATTGAATCGATCATAATACGAATGAAATATTCAGTATTGTAATGGATTCTTATATTCAGCGTATCAATAAGATTTATTTATTCACTAAATTTATTGATGAATATTGATTTTGTTCAATAATAGTATAGTCTGGATAAATTATGTTAATAATTCACATTTGCATAACTATATTTAATAGCACTGATTAAAGTTCTCATTATACAATACAGCTGTAATTAATAATTTATAATTGCCTATAAATAACAAACTTAGGCAAGTATATATATATATATATATATACTTCTCTAGTTTATATATATATATAAACTAATTACACTTCTAAACAATGTTACACAGTTACGATTCGTGATTAAACAATCGTTATTACTTTCCGTATATTGTATACAGAATTGCTAAAATTGTTGGGGAAATAACTGGATACCGCATAAAAATTGGCGTAAATGCCTATAATGCGTAAATGCCTATAAATAATATGCCTAATGGAATATTTTCGTTGCGGTATGACACGTTCACGGCGTAGAGTATACGAGCAAATAACGCGTGGATTTCAGGAGAGATTCAGTATTTTCCTTCATATATACGAGGTCGTTTACTCATTGTTATAACTTCCTTAGAAGCCATTACAAAGAGGCGCGCTCCTCCATTCTAAGATAATTCGGCTGACACAAAGCTGCAGCTACCAAAGTTCATGGTGGAGAGGGAGAGCCGGCAATTTGCCATACGCTACATTAAATTTCACAAAAGCGGGAAACGCTCGAGCTACGCCGGTATAATCACTAATCAAAACTACGTTTCCAGAGCGTGTCAGACATCGCGTTCGTTGCGTACCACTTGGAGCAACATCGAATACAATTACCTACCTACTCAGTATGCTAATTACCACGAGACGCCGGATGAGGTAATATATCGTCATCTTGCAGCGTCTCGTTTTGAGATGGTCAAGGCTGAGATTCGCCTCCTCGTTTCCTCGCCAAGGAAACAATGCGTTCATAAATTTGCGTTACTCTGACAGATTAATCGGCGTAAAAAATCACCGAGATGCAAATTCGGACACGTTTTAAACACATTCTCAAATTCGCGTACGTTTTAAACGCATTCTCTTCGTGAACTTTCTTGAAAGAGCGAAAGAAGAGTGACTTATCGCTGGGACTGATTTTACATGACTACGGAAGAACACATAAATATCAACAATAGGCTGATCTGGCGTATCCGTTGAAAAACTACGAAAGCACGTGTGGATCGGTCCGGTCCTTCCTTACGTTCAGAATGGTCAAGGTTACACGAGATGGACGGACGGACGGATGGACCGACGGTCTGGAAGAATGAACGATGTTTTGTAGGACGTAGGTATATAAGCAGGAAGGGAAAGGTTACACCTGGCAGGTTCGAGATAGAACCCGAACTCACGCCTCGCATGCTCGTCTCTTCGCACGTACCGACCCGTCCCACTCTCCACGGTCCATTCCTTACAGCCGAGCGTCCCTCTTTGAATCAGCCTGCTGGCCATGCACTCGCCCAAAATAACAGAAATTGTGGAGAAATCAGCGCTCCCCCAATGGGAAGCCTTGTGGACACTATTGTGGCGCCTCGAGACGCTACAACAAGGCTCCTCATCGATGTGGAACGCTATTGTGTAAGGACGAGTTTGTCGCTCCTCCGAATCGTCGTCTCGTGTCGCCCAGGGGTGGTTTGACTTCTGCGCTCTTTTCAATTTCATTGCACTTTAATGCCGATTGCACGAAGCACCAGGTGTCACAGCGATACCCTTGACGAATGACGATCGCTCTCGCGCAAGCGATCCTCTGTGGACTTTTATTTACGACGCGCGACGAATCCGATGCGGAACGCTCGGTTAAATGCGCACGGGGACAAAGTTCTCTGGTGTGCTCGAGGGGGTGAAGCAAAACCGCGCGCGCGATCGACCCGGGGTTCTCGCTCCCCGAACTTTGGGGTCAAACATTCGACGCTGGAAACGTCTATTTGGGTCACTCGGTTCGCGAACAGATCACTCGAAACTTTTGCGCAATTGACGTATCCGGGACGGAATGTGTGCGATCTGTGCAAATATGTGTTTTCCTCGCTGCGCTTCGGATGAAACGGAAATGTTAACGCCTCCACCTATCCAGTTCGGACCGCGACTCTATACGGCTCGTAGACGATTCGATGTCTGTTATATAGAATGTCTTTCTATTATATAGAAATAAAACTTAGGAATTGGATTTCCGTCACAACGTATCAAATTTTGAGAGGAAAATTGCAGAGAATTAGGAGCGAAATTAATTTGAATGTCCACATTTCTCAGATCAATACAATGTTCCAGATCGACGAATATTTTAGGAACAGATTATTCAATGAACTTGGAGTTCATGTTTTTTCAGTAAAAATATCGAGAGAGATTCAAGATCGACATTCGTCGACTTCTTTTAATTTTCGAAAATTTCATCTCCGGGTAAACCTCTATTGAAATTACTATTAACGTAAAATGTTTCTAAACTAAATTATTAAAGTTTTATTACCTATTTACGTGTTTGAAGTTAAACTTGCGTAAAGCTGCGAGATAATGTCAATTCTCACGTTTGTATTTCTCCTGTAAAAATCTCCCTTTGTTAGGGAAAGTAAAGATAATTAATTAATTGAGACAGGTGGATTAAATAAATCTAGCGCAATATAGTCAGTATTAGTCGTCAAAGTTAAAAGAGGTTACTTTTTCGAGCTAATCAGTGTTACAATCAGCTGGCTCGTTACTTATGAGGTGATAAATTATTTCACAAACCTCCCACGATGCCTGGCTGGCCGACTTTGATTATTATAGGAACGGAATA